ACAGACAGCTCGCCGTAGTTCAAGAGAACGACGAAGACCTTACAGCATACAAGATATCTCCCTCAGGTCTCGCCCTCCAAGAACTCCCCATTCCGGGTATGAACATCAAGTTGTGGTGCGACATGTCCTGTGGGCAGCCTAGACCGTTTGTGCCTCACATCCACCGCCGCGCCATCTTCGACCGCATCCACGGTCTCAGCCACCCAGGTGTACGGGCCTCCCAGTGCCTTCTCATGCAACTTCTTGTCTGGCCCGGTATCAAGGCTAATACTCGGAAATGGGCTGCCCAGCTCCTGGCCTGCCAGTCCTCTAAGATACATCGACACACACGGGCTCCCTTAGAAACCTTTCTTGTACCCAAAGGACGCTTCCAGGTAGTGCACCTCGACATCGTGGGACCTCTTCCATCATTCTGCGGTAACACCTACATCTTCACCTGCATTGACCATTTCACCAGGTGGACAGAAGCCATTTCCATGCCCAATGCTACAGCAGAGTCTGCCGTACGCGCCTTCCTGTCCGGTTGGGTCTCCTGTTTCGGTTCCCCCACGACCGTCATCACTGACCAAGGAGCCCAGTTTGAGTCACAACTCTGGCACAGCCTCCTACAGTTCCTCGGCACTTCGAGGCACCGCACTACCGCTTATCACCCTCAATCCAACGGCATGGTAGAGTGGTTTCACCGGCAGCTGAAGGATGCCATCAAGGCACAGCACAACCCCTACAGCTGGACGGATGCTCTACCCTTAGTGCTCCATGGCATCCGCGCATCACACAACAAGGACATGGACTGTAGCCCAGCAGATCTCACCCTAGGCGAGCCCCTTCCCCTACCCGGGGACTTCTCACTTACTCCTGACCTTGACCACATCACTCCTGCTGTCCGTCACGACCTACTGCAAACACTATGACAAGCAGTTACTGCATTCAAAGCTACTGCCCCACGTCAGCCATCCTGTCGCCCTGAACACATCCCTCCTGCACTACTCAATGCTGAGTATGACTTCGTCAGACGCGATGCTCACCGCAACCCACTTCAACGCCCCTATGACGGACCCTTCCCAGTTTTTGCACGGTCAGCGAAGTTCCTGACGATCATTCGCAATGGCAGACACGACACCGTCAGCATAGATCGAGTGAAGCCGGCCACCTTACCCAATGTGCCCCCAGCCCAGCATTACCGCCAACAAACCACGTCTGCACCAGTCTGCCCACAGTTGCCACTTGCAGCACCACCTTGTCCACAAAATTTCTGGGTACACTCTTTTCATCCTCAGGTACCTACTGCTCCTGATGCGGACCCTGCTCCTGATGCGGACCCTGCTCCTGATGCGGACCCTGCTCCTGATGCGGACCCTGCTCCTGATACGGTCGCTGCTCCTGATGAGGATCCTGCATCCGGACCTATGAACTCAGACACCTCACCCGGCGCCCCTGAGGACTTTGCACCTGCCGTGAGAGAAGCACCACATTCCTCACCTGTTCAACCTTCTCTTATCTACAACCCTCCTTCTCCCACAGATTTCGTGTCACTAGACGGAGTCGTCACCCGTTAGCGGCCGAGTGGTTCTCACCGCCGCCCGTTATGTCTCACATGTGGGATACAACCCTGCCAACAACAAGTTTTCTGCAGCGCTCAGAGGGGAAGGGGAGTATTGTAGTGGATACTCTCCCCTACAACTGCTGGTTGATCACTTGCCGTCCACTTACCAGCCAACCAGCGGCGAGTTCCAATTGTGATGTGCCTAACTTTCAGACTGCGCGGTGATTGGTCCGTTACCGCCTTCACCTCAGCCAATCAGCAGCGCCACTCACTTCACACCTCTCAACCTGATCCGGCAGAATCATATAAATACCCCCCAGCCTCGCCGTGAAGGTCATTCTACTCAATGCTCTCAAACAGACAAGACCTCCTGTAAAGGCTTGGACTTTGGGATATAAATCCCTTGCCAGCCTAATCAGGATCTTATAAAAGGAAAGTCACGAATCATGGGTTTCCAAGGGGTAACAAACAACCGTTAGAGATTGACATCTCTTTACTATGAATATAATCACAACAATTGCCACCACTCACACAAATATCAAATAAACAATTATGGGAGTCAAACAATTAATGGAGTCAAACAATTAAGGGAGTCAAACAATTACGGAAGGAAGTGGCGATGATGTGGCAGCCGCGGTAGTAGCTGGAGCAGGTGTCCAGAGATTGACAGCCAAATAGTAAAGGTCTGGAGAATCAGACCAGTAGCACCAGTTGAGTACACAACCAGAGTTTGAACGAACAGCGGGGTGCAAGTACAGCTGTGTTGACGGCTGGGTAGTGTCTGATGTGTGACGAAGCAACAGCGACCTTCTCACCTCCGTCTACCCCCCCGAGTGGGGCCGCGAACAAGCAAACGAGCGGCGGACAACCATCCTGCTCGTTACCGCCCTTACACCTCCTCTCAACAAGCTCCTCACCACACAGCAACTCCCTAGCACTGCATTGTACATACAATATATATATAGAAAAGCCATTGTGAGTTTCCCTTCTCACCTCCATCCTTAGTGCGAGGTCTCCTACATGTAGGTATGTATGTGAGCCATACAAAGAGAAATGTGACAACTGGCCACATATGATACACTACAGAGTACCAGCCTCCCTCCCTCCAACTCACAGTGTCTCATACGAAGGACTTTAAACTAGATGTTGTGTGTGTGTGTGTGTGTGTGTGTGTGTGTGTGTGTTGGGTATCAATTAATGAATAATAAATAAACAATATTGTATTGTTAATGACAGTACAGTAGTTTGATGAATAGTAGCGACGACTGTAGTACACCACTGTTCATCAAACGACGGTCATTGAGGATACAATATTGCTAATTTATTATTCATCAATTAATACCACAACATCACACCCAGACACCCTAACACCATCCACACACCCCCTATTGTACGACATAATTTATGCGTGGTTAACTGATGCGCAAGTGTGTGGCTGCATGGAGGCGAATTAAAAGATCAGCTGTTGAGGAGCCTATCACTTGGCATCACTGGTGCATGTTACCACTCCAACTCTCTTGTCATCCACACCTTTCTGCTTCCTCACTCCATATTTTAAAATGTTATGTAGCATAATGTTGAAGGGATACATCGTTGCTCATTTATACTTACACTTCTCACATGTACCTAAAAGATACTGTACTTTAGCTTTCATCTTTATTCACTACATCTTCAGGTCCTGAGACCCACTAATCCCCCATCCAACAATGGGTGACCTGACACTGCATCAGGTCAGTAATATGAGACCACTAATACCCCACGCTACCTTTACCACCTGACATTGTGTCAGGGTAGGTCAGTTACACAAGACCCACTAATCCCTCACAGCTCCATGGGAGTGGAAATCACGCCAGAATCATATAAATTTTCAGTTTTTAAATATTTATTTAATGAAACTTTTAGATAAACTACTCTGGGTTATTTTAGTAAAAAAAATGGAGTTTCTAACTTAATTAGAACTGCTTTTACAGACTCTGGTAGTTTAGACTCTTGGAAAACTTTCCCCAGCTCCCAGAAACATTGTGAGGATGTGGGCTAGTGTTTGTCTGTGCAAGATGCATAGTTTAGACACCCGGAAACTTTTCCCAGTAACCGGAAAAAATTTCAGCGATAAAGAATTTTTCCGTGTTTGAGAAAGTCGTCTGGTTAAACGAAAATCTCTCATTCCCAGGAATGCTGTGCACCAATTGTTCCGGCTAGCAGGAATGAGAGATTTCCAGCTAATCAGATGACTTTCTAAAACCCGGAAAAATTCTTTATCCCTGAAATCTTTTCCGGTTACTGGGAAAAGTTTCCGGGTGTCTAAACTATGCATCTTGCACAGACAAACACTAGCCCACATCCTCACAATGTTTCTGGGTACTGAGGATGTTTTCCTTGAGTCTAAACAACTGGAGTCTGTAAATGCAGTTCTAATTAAGTTAGAAACTCCATTTCTTTACTCAAATAATCCAGAATACAGTAAAACCTCGATTAACCGATTTTTGGATTAACCGCCGATCCTGGACCCCTAAAATAATTTTTTTTTACGGGGATTAGCCCACCCGGGCACAGGTCACTGACCCACATCGGAGCCTGGGGGGCGAAAATGTAATATTAATAATAATCATGATAATAATAATAATGATAATAATAATAATGATAATAATAATAATCATGATAATAATAATAATGATAATAATAATAATGATAATAATAATAATAATAATCCAAATGAATTATTGTGCTATTATTAGTGGTGTCTAGCGATGCAAGATATGTTGAGGGATTAATCTAAATGAATTATTGTGCTATTAACAGTGGTGTCTAACGATGCAAGATATGTTGAGGGATTAATCCAAATGAATTGTTGTCACTAGTGCAATTAATATATTTTTAAGTGCTGTATGGGTGGTGCTGTTGAGTGATTGTAAACTGAAAATGTCGTAATGTGGACGTGACAATATACTGTTTCACTGTCCGTGTTAAAACAATATTAACATTACTTTTGGGTTAGGTAGGATATAAATTTTGGTGGATTGGCCCTGCCTGGTGTAGCTGATTTAGTGATGATAATAATTTAGGTATGGGTAGGCTGGTAGGGTTAGCTTGGTATAGTAAGATTGGGTTATTTTTGGTTTTTATCAGGTTGGATTGGGTTGGGTTAGGTTAGGTATAGCTAGTTTAGCTTGGGATGGGTTGGATTAGGGTAAAATTGATTATTGCATCCTATGCAAAGTCAGGTACTTTGGGTAGAATTACTGTAAATAAGTCAGGAAGTATCTAAGTTGTTGCTGATATTGGTCATCTTGCATCTCTTGTGGGAAAGGTCTTCTAAAAGGAGGGGGAGAGAATGTGTTATTTCAACTGATGGGAGACAGCAATAATAAATAGCAGAAAATTAAAATTTTCTCAATGTGAATTCTAGAGAATCTTTTCATTATGACCAAGGTACAGGAAAAAACATAAAAATGCTTTCTTCAAAAACAAACAAACTGTAATTTATACTAAATCATCAAATATATTACAAGAATACATTTTTAACAAATTACTGAGGCCTTTAGGTCATACAGACACAGTATTGTAGAAGAGATAACAGACTTCATCATACACCATTATATTATGCAAAGGTAAATCCAATTAAAAAGGGAGTACAGTATATATGTAATATAAACTTACTTTTCTTAATACAAGAATCTCATAGTGACATAAACTTTTTGAATGCAAATGTATTTACAATTACCACTCTTTATCTTTCATTTAAACACATTAAATTAGCTTTCCAGCCAAAATCAAATGATTATATTACTCCCTTGTAAAGCTGTGGGCTAAGTGGAGTGTCGAGCCCAACACATAATTCAGCTGTGGATTCCTCTCCATCTTTAGCAATACGACCACTGTTTCTACACATAGTGAGTCTGAGAACATTCGAAGCATGTCCTTCCCTTTCTGCAACAATCTGAAAGATGAGTATTTCAGTCAGTGATGAAGGAATTAACAAAAATAACTCATATTATACAGTATTTTGCAATTCGTGCTTAACTTTTTTGGGAACAATCAGTTACCATAATTTTCTCTTATCAACCTAAACTCCAGTCCATAAAAAAACATTTTGAAGCAAGCCTTCATGTTTTCTTACATCAGTAGATTTATTTCATAAAACAATTTGCCCTTATTACCGATGTGTCATACTATACATGTACAGGTACAAAGTTTAGATTATCTTGTGTGTGTGTGTGTGTGTGTGTGTGACATGGATGATGCAATATGCGCTCATCTCTGCTCTTCTCGGGAGGATAACCATCACCATTGTTTGAATTATTTTACCTAAAATCTTACCATTTTTCTGTGGCTCAATGTGTGTTGAACTTACAGCTAACCAATCACAGTGCAGCTTTATGAGCAAGTCCATTCTAAGAGTGGGGGAACAAACTTTTCACTCACTGGTCCAAGAAGAGGAAATAGGCCTCAAGGGAATGCTCGCTGGTGGCAATTTCAAATTACTGTGTACGGTGGGATTTTTAAACAAAAAATATTTAAGGGTTTGGACAAATGTTTGATGACCGTAAAAGGGTCCAGGCTATCCAAAACCCTGACTTATGGGGTGCAAACTTTCGAGGGTTTACTGTACATCTTAGATGTTATTATATTATTGAATAATATTATTCAATAAACAAAGCTGACGAATGCGGCAACACCGGATCAGCCCCAGCCAATTTATATACTCAAGTGTCTTAGTTCTCAATAGGCCTATAGCAAATCTGATTACCGTATATACTCGTCTATAATTCTACCTCGTTTATAGGTTGACCCTAATTTTTTGACCAAGAAATCATTAATTTATGATATGCCTTGTTTATAGGTCAACCCAAGTTTTTGAGGGTAATGGAACACCAAAACCTTCACTAAAAACACTACGTCCTATAAACTGCGGGTCGTCGTGCCTGAAACGCAGGTAGTTTCAGCAAAAATATTGTATATTTCCATTCAAGTATTTATTCAAGTCAATTAGGAGGGAATATTATTGTAATACCTGTACAACAGTTTTTTAACTGAAAACCATTCGAAAAGCGATTATGGTAACACCTTTTGAACGAAAGAAAGCGAAAGTTGATTGTTTTCATCATGGTTTTATCCCACTTTCCACTGTAATACGTACGTCATTTCAGCAAAAATATTACATTTCCATGAATGTATTATATCAAGCACAGTATGAATAGAATATCATTGTAATATAACAATATTTTAACCGAAAACTATTAATAAAACGAGTAACATCTCTTGAACATCGGAAGGTTAGGTAAAGTCTTTTGTTTTCGTCATGTATTTTATCTTATTTTACATTAAAATACATCACGTTTCAGCAAAACTACTATTTATTTCCGAGAATATACCGTATATACTTGTGTATAGTTCGAGTTTTTAAGACCAAATTTTTAGGTAAAAAATTGGGGGTCGTCCTATACATGCGTAATAGTTTTGTTAGGTTGAACCCGTGCATGATGGGAAGGGCGAGGAGCAACTTTTAGCTTCAGACATGAAAAATATTTACCATTTACTGCCAGTAAACAATGGAAACGTAAAATATGTACCAATTAGTAATGAAAAGTTGTGCAGTTCCTTCAGTAAATGAAGCTCACCAACTTACAATAGGCTAAATTACCTTACAACGTGCTTTCAGTAGTCTATGTTGAAGTTCTTAGCACAGGCTAACTTATTATATCATATACGGTATCACAGTTCTCATTGATCTACAAAAAATACCGGTAATAAAAACCTTTTTCATATTTCACACTTAATATAATACACTGTAATCTACTTCAACCTCCTATTGTTTACAACGACACATCACGCACCACCAGCTGTTGTGTATCAGCTAGACGGTACACGTGTTTTTTGAATCGTTTTCAGTTAAAAAACTGTTACATCACAGGTATATTTTACCTTAACTGTGCCTGAATGAATACATTCTCTTAAATAAATAGTAGTTTTGCTGAAACGTTATGTATTTTAATGTAAAATAGGATAAAATACATGACGAAAACAAAAGACTTTACCTAACCTTCCGATGTTCAAGAGAAGTTACTCGTTTTTTTAATAGTTTTTGGTTAAAATATTGTTATATTACAATGGTATTCTATTCATACTGTGCTTGATATAATGCATTCACGGAAATGTAATATTTTTGCTGAAATGATGTACGTATTACAGTGGAAAGTGGGATACAATCGTGACGAAAACAATGACTTTTGCTTTCTTTCGTTCAAAAGATGTTACCGTAATCGCTTTTCGAATAGTTTTCAGTTAAAAAACTGTTGTATTACGATAATATTCCATCCTAATTGACTTGAATAAATACTACGATACCATATTTCTGAATATTTTCATTAAAACCCATCAAAATCATTTTCCTTGTCATCGTCTGCAGCACCAAACAGCTTCTCCCAGTCTTCTCCTTGAACAGGGCTAGAGGGTACGTGTTTTTCGAATCGTTTTCAGTTAAAAAACTATTACATCACATGTATATTTTACCTTAACTGCGCCTGAACGAATATATTCTCGGAAATAAATAGTAGTTTTGCTGAAACGTGATGTATTTCAATGTAAAATAGGATAAAATACATGACGAAAACAAAAGACTTTACCTAAGCTTCTGTTCTTGAGATGTTACTCGTTTTTTTAAGTGTTTTCGGTTAAAATTCTGTTATATTACAATGATATTCTATTCATACTGTGCTTGATATAATACATTCACGGAAATGTAATATTTTTGCTGAAATTACGTACGTATTACAGTGGAAAGTGGGATAAAATCGTGACGAAAGCAATGACTTTCGCTTTCTTTTGTTCAAAAGATGATACCGTAATCGCTTTTCGAATGGTTTAGTTAAAAAACTGTTGTATAACAATAATATTCCCTTCTAATTGACTTGAATAAATACTTGAATGGAAATATACAATATTTTTGTTGAAACTACCCGCGTTTCAGTATAAAGTGTCGTAATAATAAATGGTAAACAATTTGCCTTCGGCACTCGTGTTTCATGCACGGCGAGCCTCAGTTTATAGGACGTAGAGCGTGTTTAGTGAAGGTTTTGTTGTTCCATTACCCTCAAAAACGTGGGTCGAACTATAAACGAGGAATATCATAAATTAACGATTTCTTGGTCAAAAAACCAGGGTCGACCTTTAAACGAGGGAGGGGTTATAGACGAGTATATATGGTATTCATTCAGGCACAGTTAAGGTAAAATATACCTGTGATGTAACAGTTTTTTAACTGAAAACGATTTGTAAAACACGTGTACCGTCTAGCTGAGGTTGATTACCGGGTATTATATTAAGTGTGAAATATCGAAAAGGTTTTTATTACAGGTATTTTTTGTAGATCAATGAGTACTGTGATACCGTATATGATATGATAAGTTAGCCTGTGCTAAGAACTTCAATATAGACTACTGAAAGCACGTTGTAAGGTAAGTTAGCCTATTGTAAGATGGTGAGCTTCATCTGCTGAAGGAACTGCACAACTTTTCATTACTAATTGGTACATATTTTACGTTTCCATTGTTTACTAGAAGTACCGTATATCACGGCCTATAAGACGAAATTTGAACATTAAAAAAATCTGCCCAAAGTTAGGGGGTTGTCTAAACCACCAAGTTTAAAATTCTTACCTCTTAAATATTGTGGTTTAGTGTGTCAAAAGTGGTGATGAAAACATCGTAAGCCACTCACAAGGTCTTACCACTAATTATTTTATACTGAAACTTACGTTTGGCAAGCTGGATTCAAATTAAGATTACCGGTATATTAAAATAATAAAAATGTATTATAAACCTGTCTAACATACCGTAAAAGAGATTTATACCCCTGTAATAAACACAGCTATCATCACACACCCCTCCCCACGCCCCCCCCCCATTTGCCAGTGAGGAGACAAGAAAGGGAAAGTGACCACGAGATTGGGCTATTTTTAGCCGTGGAGGTGGTCAGTAATGCATACCGGTATCGGTATATTTACTCATAATAATATTTATCTCCTATAAATAATTGATTTAAATTTTATTTTTTTACAAAGAATATTCAGTAAATGAGTGCATTAATTCTTGAAACTATCGACGGTTAATTACAGACGCTCAAGTGACGTCACTAGTGTTTACACTACACCAGCTGGTAATATTTGATGCCATTACTTGAAGTGAATTGGCCTTATTTTAAGTAACTAACTATAAATAAATACAAAAATTAAAAAAAAGATCAAAACTGAGAAATAATATACTGTATGTATGTTGTGTTGTCAAAGTAAGAGGAACAATTGTGTAAGTACGTAATATTTTTTCACTCAAATCCTAATGAAACACTACTGGAGAACATTCCTTTGTCGCAAAACAGTTTATAAATTAAAGAAAATAATTACAGTGTGTTTAATATATTACAGTATATTATAAATAAATAAATAAAACAAATAATTCGGTAAATCTATTTAAAGTAAATGGAAAATAAGCAAACATGTTATTTACCAAGACGCTTCCGTCTGGCTCAGGGTGAGATGGAGGGGAGATAACAAGGCTATTTATAGCCCATCTGAAGTGGCCAGTACCCTAATGCACCATAAATAATTCATTGAACATTCATTTTTGTACATAGTATATTCAGTATATATATATATATATATATATATATATATATATATATATATATATATATATATATATATATATATATATATATATATATATATATATATATATATATTTGTGTAATAAATGTATGTAGTAAGTACATACTGGTAACCTTTTTCACTCAAATCCTAATGAAACACCACAATTAGAATACGGTGGTTGCTGTTGAACCACATGTTGTATAAATAGTCACACCACCGAGACGAGGGAACACTCCCACCACGCTTCAGTGACGTCACTAGTGTTTACACTACACCAGCGGGTATAATTTGAT